GAAGGAGGCAGCCAACCACTAGGAGGGCTAAGGGAAAAGGCCACTGGGCTAGGAAAATCACGTCAGATTTAGTTCCTGATGCCCCTTGGTATCAACAGAGTTGGAGAAACCTTGACAGGTCCCCTGTTTTGCCTACCTTGTAGACCTAAGGACACTGGTCCCTGGGGAGCTCTGTGTTGCCATAGAGCAAAGGGGCAGGCAGCAGTCCTGGCAAGATGGGGGCCCACGTGTAGCAATGGCAGCCCAGCCACTCAGTCACACAGCCACAGCCTCCTGCCCTTGGAAAACCATCAGTGCAGCCCCTGGCTGGTGGATGCTATATTGCAGCTGGCCTGTCCTAGAGTCTTGCTTGGCTACAGAATAGCAGTCCCCCTCTCCTCCCTCTCCACTGTCTCAGCCCTCATCAGAGGCTGTCCTGGGAGCTGGCGAGCCTGGCTGAAATGACAGTCTCCTTACAGGTGTATCATCAAGCACCTGGAGGGGCTGGTCGTCCAGTATGACCTGACAGTCCGCGACAGTGACGGCAGCGTGGTGCAGTTCCTGTATGGGGAGGATGGCCTGGACATCCCCAAGACACAATTCCTGCAGCCCAAGCAGTTCCCTTTCCTGGCCAGCAACTATGAGGTAGCAGGCCAGACCCCCAGGGCCGAGGGTGGTGGGGCTCTGGGCCATACGTGGACCTCCCTCCCTGAGTTAGGAAACTTGAGCACCTTGAGCTTTTAGGCCCAGTCTGAGTGGCCATTGAAAGGTAGAGAGGGAAGAGGTTATAAAGCACCAGTCAGTGCCCTGAAACACTTTGCATTTTCAAAGCCCCTGTGGATTTTCGTCATGTAGGATGGCAGGAAGGCATGAGCACCTCTGGATTAACAGCTCCTGTTTGGGGGGCATTTGCAATGCTCTGGGCCCCAAACCAAAGTACACTGTGAGTACCGTCTGGGTTCATCCTCGCTGCAGGCTGGGAAGTAAGCATTACTCTTGCTGTTTTACAGCTGAGGCAACTGAGTCCTAGAGCTTAAGTAACTAGCTGGCGAGAGGCAGAACCAGCATTTGAACACAGGCCTGTCTGGCACACAATCAGATTTAGTTCCTGATGCCCCTTGGTATCAACAGAGTTGGAGAAACCTTGACAGGTCCCCTGTTTTGCCTGCCTTGTAGACCTAAGGACACTGGTCCCTGGGGAGCTCTGTGTTGCCATAGAGCAAAGGGGCAGGCAGCAGTCCTGGCAAGATGGGGGCCCACGTGTAGCAATGGCAGCCCAGCCACTCAGTCACACAGCCACAGCCTCCTGCCCTTGGAAAACCATCAGTGCAGCCCCTGGCTGGTGGATGCTATATTGCAGCTGGCCTGTCCTAGAGTCTTGCTTGGCTACAGAATAGCAGTCCCTCTCTCCTCCCTCTCCACTGTCTCAGCCCTCATCAGAGGCTGTCCTGGGAGCTGGCGAGCCTGGCTGAGATGACAGTCTCCTTACAGGTGTATCATCAAGCACCTGGAGGGGCTGGTCGTCCAGTATGACCTGACAGTCCGCGACAGTGACGGCAGCGTGGTGCAGTTCCTGTATGGGGAGGATGGCCTGGACATCCCCAAGACACAATTCCTGCAGCCCAAGCAGTTCCCTTTCCTGGCCAGCAACTATGAGGTAGCAGGCCAGACCCCCAGGGCCGAGGGTGGTGGGGCTCTGGGCCATACGTGGACCTCCCTCCCTGAGTTAGGAAACTTGAGCACCTTGAGCTTTTAGGCCCAGTCTGAGTGGCCATTGAAAGGTAGAGAGGGAAGAGGTTATAAAGCACCAGTCAGTGCCCTGAAACACTTTGCATTTTCAAAGCCCCTGTGGATTTTCGTCATGTAGGATGGCAGGAAGGCATGAGCACCTCTGGATTAACAGCTCCTGTTTGGGGGGCATTTGCAATGCTCTGGGCCCCAAACCAAAGTACACTGTGAGTACCGTCTGGGTTCATCCTCGCTGCAGGCTGGGAAGTAAGCATTACTCTTGCTGTTTTACAGCTGAGGCAACTGAGTCCTAGAGCTTAAGTAACTAGCTGGCGAGAGGCAGAACCAGCATTTGAACACAGGCCTGTCTGGCACACATGCTGGTGATTTTCATACCATACCTTACTGCCTCAGCAGATTGGGAAACTGGAACCGACGTGGCCCATCCAGGGTCATCAAGCTGATGGCAGAACTGAGTTGTACTCCGGTGCCAGGGCCTTTCCATCCTGGGCTGGCCATCACTCTTCCCTTCTTCCTTTCTTCCCAGAAACTCCCCTGTGTTCCTGGGGGTGCTCTGAGTGTGCTGGTGTCTCTTCCAAGACCCTCCCAGTGCCTGAGACCACCAGCTCCTGAGACTGGTTTGCACAGCATGAGGGCCCTGACTAGCAGTGTGTTGTCAGCCCCTCTGAGGGACATCATGAGGGCTCTGTGCCAGCTACCTGAGCCCCCTGAATTTGTGCAATGTGGCCCTTCTGTCACACCCTCTTCTCTTACATCTGGCATCTTTGGTTTGTTCAGGTGATAAGGAAATCGAAGCATCTCCATGAAGTGTTATCCAGAGCAGAACCTCAGAAAGCTCTCCGCCACTTCAGAGCCATCAAAAAATGGCAAAGCAAGCATTCGGACGCCCTGCTGAGAAGAGGCGCCTTCCTGAATTATTCCCAGAAAATGCAGGCAGCTGTGAAAGCCTTGAACCTCCAGGGCGAGAACCAGAATGGCCGCAGCCCCGGGACTCAGCAGGTGACACGGGGAGGCTGTGTCCCCAGTGCTTGGCACATCCAGACCCAGTCAGTGGGTGAGGGATGAACGCTTGTTTTCCTAATAGAGGGAATGATCATTAAATCAGGCTTTGCTCACCATCCATCAGGACACAAATGGCACTCAAACGGGAATGTAAGGAAGGGACTTTTTACAAGGGTGTGTTTGGGATTTGGGGGAACTAACTGGGGACAGTGACTTTGGGGTTCCTCATCACCCCAGGTGTGAAGGAACAGGGAGAGAAGTTACCAGAAGTGGAGAGGGTGGCTGTGGGCAGAGGCTGCTGGACAGGAGCCCTGGGTAGAGACCCATTAGAGAGGGGCCGGGGAAAAACAGCCGGCTTCTCTCTCCTCCCACCTTCCCTCTGCCGCAGTGCCTCCCGTTAGCCAAACACAGCTGGGAGCGGAGGAGGGGGAGCTCTTTGAAGCAGTCGCTGTGGGGCAGTCTTGGGGGCACAGAGCGTGT